AAGTTATTTAAATGCCATATTCTCTAGGTCTATGAAGTGTTTGAAGATTACCTGTCCATCTGACCTATGTATCTGTAAATCTGGATAACCTAACTAATGTAACTATAGAGATGACAAGAATAGGTGATTATAAATCTATAAGTCTTATCTACTGAAATAACCTATGGACTAAGGCTTCATGTAAGCAAGGTAAACAGTCAATAAGCAAATGTATGGTAAAGGACGATGACTTCAAAATTGTGGCAATACACAAGATGTTATAACAGAGGTAGGAGTATATAGTGCGATATGCAATATGACAATAATCTTAAATATATATCAATATACAGAATATCCTAAACAGAAGTAGAACATACATAAAGTATGACAGATATAAATTTACACTTGCATCAATATACAAATATTTCAAATAAGAGTAGAAATATATGTACATTATAACAAATATAGTTCTGTATTTGTATCAATATACAAATTATCTTAAACATGAATATAAAAATAGTTTACATTTGTATCAACATATAAGAATCCATAACAGTGCAAATTATCTAAGGCTGCTATTTTACTAAATTTGTTTACTAGTATATACAATAATCTATCATAATATCTTATACCTATCCATTCTATTTCTTTTCCCTTCTTTTTAGGAGAATACTGAGTTTAATATTTTCTTCCACCCCCAACCCTATAACCATCATTCATAACCCTGAGAAATATGAAACCTTAGGGAGAAGGGGCATCGTTTTCTTAGAATTGCTTCCTGCTGTTTTGGGGGTGATGGTATCTCTGTTGGGTATTGTGAGAAAGCTCAGATAGTTGAATCTCAGTTAGACTAACTGTATATTCTGCAACAAGTCTCAGAGTAATGGGTAAAATTGTCTGAAATTCTAGCAAGAAGTGTAGTATGATGATGATTACCATGGCATCATTCTGGATTGGGTAGAGTTGTTGTTGTTGTTGTTGGGGCCCCATCTTCCTTCTGGAGACTTCAGAAAATGCTATTGGAAAAACTTATTTTTTATCAAAATGGAAAGTTTGGATATAAAGAGGACATAACATGTAAGAAAGGATTCTGAGAAATCAAGGGTGAGCATGGAGAGAATTAGAATCTTGAAGATAATGGTCCCTTTTTTATTGGTTTCCTTCTGTCCCACACCAGAGGGTTCTTCTGATATGGGACTGAAGAATCTCTCAACCTTTTCTTTTAGCAATATGCTTGGGTTTAGAGAAGGAGTGAGCCAATTCCATCTCCAAAGCCAGATTGGTTTCTAATTGAATTGGAACCACAATTTTTCTAGATTGATAGAGATACAGATGTTAGACAGTGAGATTTTACCCTGTGTAGATTGGTACCAATAGATTCTTTCTTTCTGCTCTAAACATCCAGATATCCAAGGCCTTATGATTTCTGTAAGATGGGTATTTCCATTATCTTGGAAAGACAAAAACAGAACCCTACCCCAACCTTTGATTGTTAAATTTTTCTTACAACTTGTAGAGATGTCACATTGGTGGATGGTCTTTTACTTCTCCTCATCAAGGGGTTTCTCCTGTTCGAATCAATTTTTTATTAATTTTGTTGGTATCCATAGCTTTTCTTCTTCTCCTTCAGAAACAAAAGCAAAATCCCTTCCCCAAGGTAGAACATATCCAGGTTTCCATTCTGAGGTAAGCACATCCTTGAAATAAACCGATTGGTTTAGCTCAGGAGTTTTGTCTGTCGTCCAATGTCTCTCCGCAGCTGTTGTTCCTTTCTCATCAGCATTAAGAAAATTCAAGGTTAATAAAGCACTATGCAATCTATTTCTAGGAGTCATTGTTACCTGTTGCTGTTCATTTAGCATATCCTTTAAAGTTCGATTGGATCTTTCTATGACTGCTTGGCCTGTGGGATTGTGTGGTATACCTGTCCTCCTTCAAACTCTTTCTGTGCCTCATCCATTCATTTTTCAAATCAATAGCCTCATTTTCTTCAATTATTGTTGTTATATATATGCACATATAAATATATCCTGATAGAAATTTTAAATATTCACTCTTTTCTGAATCTCAAACATTTCTTCAAACCTTCAATATCTTCTTCAATGTGATCTTAGTTGTTCATAACTTCTCATGGCTACTCATCTCTCACTTTGCTTGTGACACAGTCATGAAATATGTAATGTACAGGCTCTGTTAGGAAGACCAACATTAAGATGTGAACACCTATATATACACCTACATAGCAAAGTCTTTTGTGTAGGCTGTGCTTTGTAAGTGGGAGCACTTTTGATCTTCCAGTACTGCCTTTTGAGTCACTCTGAACCTAGAAATCCTTGAAACTAGCATCTTATAAACCTGAGCCATCTGGTCATGGTTTGTGTAGAGCTTGAGGATAAGTTTAATAAAAAAATACAACCACATAAAATAACAGCAACATCATCTGGCCCTGTGAAAACCAAATATATGATCTTCATTTTTATTTACCTTTTATTATTATTTTGACATGAAAGTGGATAAAAATTTTTGGTGATTAAAAGAATGATGAGTTTGTTGGAGAAACCATCAATTTTTTGTTTGTTTGTGTTTTGTCTTTCAAGACACAGTTTCTCTGTGTAGTCCTGGCTGTCCTGCAACTCACTCTGTAGTCCAGGCTGGCCTCTAATTAACAGAGATCTACCTGCCTCTGCCTCCTGAGTGCTGGGACTAAAGGGGTGCACCACAAATGCCTAGAACAATCATTTATTTTTATTGTGATGACCAAGCAGTTGCTTACATCTCCTTCTTAAAGATTAGCACTGCATATTTTTCAAGCTTCCCTGGAAATAAAAGAAGAGGATCTTTGGCAGGATAGAAATCTTGAAAGAGCTACTGAGGTCATAACTGAGCAAATAGGAGAAATTTCTTGGACTGATTGAATTTCTTTGAATTTGTTCTGCTTTTTGTAGAAAGTGTTGAGTTCAAAATGAGGATTGGTTCTATCAGACAAGAGTGTAGGTTACTGATGTCTTAGCTAAATAGGTGACAAAGCTAATGACTTTTTCTGGATACTTTTCCTAGACTATCAGACACTTGGTATTGGCTAAGTTTATGTCTCAACATATTTCTATGAGGTTGACAAAGTTTTGTTATTTAGAAAACTGTTGGGGGGAAGCCAGAGGAAATCAAAACATTTAACTCTACAATTTTATAGTTCTGTTTCCTCAAATTCATTGAAAATGAAGTTGATTCTGTGATATTGTATGAAACCAAATTAATTCCAGACAAACTATTCAAGCAGTATTAGTAGATAATATCTCTTTTCCTGTTCCTGTATCCTTTCAGAGTAGAAACAATTGAAATGTTTTTGAAAAGATACATTTGAATATTTTACATTGTTTTAATAAGAAAGTGAATATCACTGACATATGTCATTTTCCTTGCTTACTGGGGGTTCCAGATACATTTAAAAACTCAATCTGTTTGGGGGGCACCCTGGCAGGGGGATCCTGATCTGTCCCTGGTGCATGGGCAGGTTTTTGGGAGCCTGGTGCCTGTGGTGTGACGCCTTGCGCAGCCTTGGTGCAGTGGGGAGGGGCTTGGACCTGCCTAGGCTCATTGTGCCAGGCTTTGCTGACTCCCCATGGGAGGCCTTGATTTGGGGGATGTGGGGATGTGGGGTGACTTGGGAGGGAGGGCTGGGGGTGGGAGGAGGAAGGAGGTGGGTTCTGTGGGTGGTATGTAGAGTGAGTAGAAAATTTCTTAATAAAGAAAAATGAAAAAAAAACCCTCCATCTGATATGGTCTAAGAGTGTTTACATTAGGGCAATCTGTTGGTATATTTATATTTGACAAAATACACAAACTCATTTACTCTGGCAGTTTTTCCTATCTGGTATGATCTAATTATCAAAGGCCTTATTTAAATATGACTACATCTATATCTCTAACTACTCTTCATGTATTTACCTAACATCAATTTATTAAAGAGCTACTCTGCTTCATATATATGATGAACACACACTTATATAATGTGTAATCTAGTCCTTACCTTTAGACTCTGAGTCTATTAATATTTTAACTATTTACTAATGTACTAGAGAATATAATGTTTGTACTTTTCTACTTTTCATTACTTATCTAAAACTAGAAACACATGATAAAGCTAGTTATCATTTATTGAACCTAATTTGTTACAATTTGATCTGAACAAAATGCAAGTCTGTATTGGCTCTGTTGTGGTTTGAATAGGAATGGGCCCGTAAGCTCATATATTTAAATCAGTGGTTCTCAACCATCTTAATAGTGCTGCCTTTTAATATAGTTCCTCATGGTAACCCTTAACCATAAAATTATTTTTGTTTTGGTACTTCATAACTGTAATTTTGCTACTGTTATGAATCATAATATAAATATTTTTTGGAGATAAAGGTTAGGTAAAGGAGTTGTGACCCATAGTTTGAGAACCATTGAGTTAACTGCTTGGTCATTAGGGAGTGGCACTGCTTGACAGGGATTAGGAGACATGGCCTTGTTGGAGTAGGTGTGGCCTTGTTGGAGGATGTATATCACCTCCCGAAAGTATGGGCTTTGCAGTTTCAAATGCTCAAGCCAAGCCCAGTATCTCTCTCTTCCTGCTGCCTTCAGATCCAGATGTAGAACTCTCAGCTCCTTCTCAAGCACCATGTCTACCTGCATACCACCATGTCTCTCACCATAATGACAATGGATTAAACCTCTGAACCTGTAAGCAAGCCCAGATTAAATGCTTTCCTTTATAAGAGTTTGTCATCATGGTATCTCTTCACAGAAATAGAACACTGAATAAAACAAAAGTTGGTATCAGGCATTGGAGTAGTGCTCTGATGGGCTTGACCGTGCATCTTGGCAGAATGTGGAGTTTAGTACATTGGATTAGGAAAGCAGTTGAATTTTTTTTATGAATTACAGCAGACTTTATTTTAAAATCATCACTGAAGTAGATCACTGTCTCAAGAAAGAATTTTCGAAGTCCAAGAAGCTCACAATTTCCATTACATCAATTATTACCTGCTCCTTTTACAAAATTCACTTTCTATGTATCTCATGGGCACTTTAAGCCATTTGTTTGGAGTCATACATTGCCTTGAATTAGAAATACTCAGGAACCTGGAATGCAACTGGGCCTTCTCGATCTCTTTAAATTCTTTCATTGTATAGATTTTGCTGGTCTCACACTGGAGGAGAGTCTTCTTGTCATTGTCCTTGTCATACTGGGCTTTTTTCAGAGGGACACAGAATGGCGGCATGATGACCTTTAGAAAATTGGGGTCCTCTTTGCTCATATAAAAAGGATCATATTCTTTTGGATCATAATTCTCTATACATGCATTTCCCTTCTTATTTACATGTCTCAAAAACTGTCTAATTCTTGTCGTCTCCCCTTTTTAATCTTCTTATGTGAACAAACTTTTTCTATAATTTTCTTCTGTAGAGGATCTGCCACACACTCAACCCATTTTTTATACATCTCTTTTCTTCTTGCATTTAAGAAGTCATGATGATATAAATACTTATCTAGTTCCTTCCATTGGGGGCTGGAGAGATGTCGCAGCGGTTAAGACACTGGCTCCTCTTTGAGAGGTCTTGAGTTCAATTCCTTCATTACATAATTTTCTCTATATAATATTGACTGAACAGCTGCATCAGTGTCTTCTTTAGCTAAAGCCTCCATAAAAGAGAGCGACTGTGGTTCCAACCATTCTTTGGAGCTCTTGCGCCTAGGAAGCGCGCCAGTTACCATATCCTCTTGGCTCTTCCCAGTTTTCATTGTGGTAGGTCGCCAAGTAACAGTGCCCCTAGAAAAGCTCATGGAGCCACGCGGGCCTCCAGCCTGGGCGGGGCAAGTAGTTGAATGTTTTAAGTAGGACTTAATGGGTCATCCTAGTAGGAGTAGGAAAGACAGTGATGCTGAGGGTGATTTGAACTGTGAGGGCCTGTCTCAGGAGGTTTCAAAGGAGGCCTTTAGTATGTGGCCTACAAACTATTTTTGTGATATTTTGTAGAAGAATGTGGCTGCCTTTTGCCCTTGTCCAAAAAGTCTGCTCGAGGCTAAATTGAAGAATTTTGGATTAACGGCATTGGCAGAGGAGGTTTCAAAATAGCCTAGTGTTGACTGTGTCATGTGATTATTAGTTACCAGTCTTATGCAGATCTATAATGAAAAGGAGCAAACTGAGCAAGGAAAGGTATAAAATGTACAGTTTGATGAGAAAAGGGGCACCAGCGAGTATAATGGAGCTTAGTCTTATGGTCAAGGAAATAAGCTGATTAAAGAAATGACTGATGCTAAATGGTTAGGAAATGGTAACCTCAGAGCAAGACCCCACCCAGCTAAGCTTCCAACTTGTGAAAAGAAATTAAAGAAAAGCTTAGACCCAGGCATGATGTTTCACACCTTTAATCTTCTTGCTCAGGAGGCAGAGGCATGCAGATCTCCAAGTTGGAGGCCAGCCTGGTCTACAGATTGAGTTCCAGGACAGCTAAGCTTAGGAAGTATAGGTAACCACTGAAAGCAGAAAGCTGGTGAAGATGTAATTGAACATGTTTCAGTCCCAGCAAACAGCAGAACTTAGCAGCTTCTTCCATGTGGTTCCAGTTTTAGAGTCTAGGATATAAGAAATCTAGGATTGTGGAATCTCTCTCCACAGTTAAGGAAAGATGCTGAGGCCAGGCATATGTCAGGGATGTCCCTGCATGGAGGCCTAGAGAGGCCATTGTCTGAAGCTGTGAAGGTGAAGCCTGGATTTCCTTGGAGACCCCAAAATGTTGGAGATACTAGAGCCATGGAATATCTGCCAAGGAAAACTGCATACCAGATGTGGAACTAGACCCAATCAGAAGTATGTTGCAATCAAAAAAGCTAAAAGTAGTTGGAGATCTGAAGGGCAATTGAACATCAAACATGGAGATGCAGAGTTTGGAGTTTGAGCTGCTGGTTTTAGGTCTTGATTTGCCCAAGTTTTTCCTCACTATGCTCCCTTTCCTCACTTTTGGAATGATAATGTATATTCTGTGTCAATATATGTTGGATTTATATGATCTGCTTTTTGATTTTTATATTACAGGGAACTGCAGTTAAGAGATTGCCATGAGTCAAAAAAGAGACTTTGAAATTTGGATTTTTAAACCATGTTGAGACTGTGTTAGACTATGGGGACTTTTGAGGTGGAACTGAATGTGGTTTTGTGTTGATATTGCTATAAGCCTATCGGGGACAGGGAGTAGAGTGCAGTGGTTTGAATTAGAATGGCCCTCATAGGATCATATATTTGAATGCTTGATCATTAGGGAGTGGTGCTACTTGAAAGGGATTAGGAGTTGTAACCTTGTTGGAGAAAGTGTGTCACTGGAGGTGGGCCTTAGGGTTTCAAATGATCAAGCCAGGCCCAGTGTCTCTCTCTTCCCACTATCCACCGATCCAGATGTAGAACCCTCAGCTATCTCTCCAGTACCATGTCTGCCTGCCTATCACCATGCTTCCCATCATGAAACTGTAAGAATGTCCCAACTAAATGCTTTCATTTATAAGAGTTTCTGTGGTCATGATGTCTCTTCACACAATAGAACATTGACTAAGACAGGTTCGTATGTGTGCAAAAAAATGCTTGTGAAAAATCAAGTATCTGAAGACTTGTTTAAGTATTAGTGCCTGTCATAGTGTCCTAATCAATCAACTCCAGATACACATACATGAAAATCATATTTTTCTGTTTATAAGAAATCATCAACTATTTCGACATTAAGATGTCCTTTGAACAACTTTAGCTTTATTACTTGTAGGTCAATTTTCATCTCATTGTCCATACTTAATGTTGCACTCAGCCCTCTTTCTTTGACATGAAACTTCAAGAATTACAATTTGTGTTTTCTACAACCATTCATTTTCTTATTCAAATGGTATTGTCTCTAGAAAATAGTTGGTAGTAACACCGATATTTCATTTAACACCCTTTCATCACCTGTCAACAAAATAAATTGCTTGTTTTTATGGTATTCATAGCACTTAACCACTTATAAAATCTCCATACCATAATATGACTCTCAAAAGCCACAGCTTTTTCAGCAGGCTAGATGGTCAAGACAAGAATTTATAACTGTCTAATCTAAGAATTCATACTTTAGCTTTTGCCAAATTGAAGGTGGAAAGCAGAGTAATATGGGTTCTGAAAAAAATGTATTTTTAGTAAAGATGAACTCAGTCTCATAAAATCTACACACTACCTAAGATAAATCAGTTTTTCAATGAACTGGGGAATTTCAAGAATTTCCTTATAAAATTCTAACCTAATATCCTCCCTTTTTCTAAGTCTACTTGCTGGGATGATATGCTTGTAAGTAGAGCCATTAAATTCCTAGGAAAAGACCAAGGCCAACTCCAATGCAAACAAAATGAATATATGTCATGATGTCTTTTTCCTCTCCAAGCATTTGACCATATGTGACATTTGAGTCATTCTGGCATGTTTTCAAAATGCTTGTTGTGAACTGATGAGTTTGAACAGTAGCAATTTGTTACATGGACACATCTTCTTGCACACTTATAAGAAGATAGCCCTTTGCAGATAAGCATTCTTTCTCTTCCTGGAGGACTGACATTTCTCTCAAAATATTTTGGATAACAAGAAAGGAATGGAATTTTTAGGCCAGAATTTAAGGCCTGAAAAGTAGCTTTACATGTAAAAATTAGAATTGATTGTTCTGAAAAGTTTATCACGCACATGTGCAAATATGGCTATATATACATATAATACACAAATAGATGAATATTTTTGGGCATTAATGTTATCTTTTATATAGAATGGGCAATGTTATTTTGTAGTTCTATGATAGAGGCACTTAAAAACAAGTATTTAAACTTTTTTCTCCAAAATCAATCTTATTAAAGTAACATAATAAAATATCTTGTTTAAATACTTTGCTGCAGTTATTGGATTAAGTATCACTTCTTTGTTATCCAGGCAAGATGATGAGAAACTTTCAGTTATTAAAAATTATATATATATAGATTTGTGTCTTTAATTTTGTATATTTTTATAGGAAAATTTTATATGTTTGTTTGGATCAAAGCCTAAAATTAGAGCACACACACATACACATGCATATGTCTTTGTTTTCTAAGACAAAGGACATGTACAATATATAAAAATAGTAATAGTGTCTGTAAATATAATAACTGAATGTAAAATTTGAATGTGACAAAAATTATAGAATTATAGAGGCAGCTAAGTACAATTACATCTGTGAGCAAAGCTACAAACAGAAATAAATGAGGTCAATTAATATGATGGGACATGTAGCTATTTTGCATTGTGAAAATGAAAAATAGGTTGCAATTCATCATTTGAAAAAAAAAAAGTGGTTCCTAGTTCAATGTAAAACCTATTACCATGGTTTAACAGTAATATAATTTGTAACTACTTTTTTATGTTGGAGTGACTATGTATCTACAAGTCAATCAACTCAAGAGGTAATAAACCTCTGATGTTGAAAAAGATGATGATGACAATTCAATATAGATCATCTGGGCAGGAGACCTCAACCTCCAGGCAATCAAGAAAGAAAATGAAGCTATATTGAATTGATTATGTTGTCACGGCTTCCTCATGATAGATGGAAGTCTACTAAGCATACCACAGGGCAAAAGTGGTGCCCGTTTTTACTCTTAAGTATAGAGGAGAGCTTTTGTTGAGTGTCATAACATAGAAGATGTTTTCTTCTAATTTCTGAAGCCTTCCTTTTTCCCCCAGTGACTAATATAATTTGGGAAACATACTGATTATTGTGAATATATGTTGACTCATAGAACACTTGTAGCTGAAAATATTGTTTGTTAAATAACTATAATATAGAAACATGGATGCACACACACAAAGACACACATATGCATATGCACACATACATATACAATCACATATATGTATATACCTGATCAGAGAGAAAAGCTAGTTGTTGAAAGTATTTTCAGAAATCTGGTACTTCATGACAACAAAACCATGCTCTCTAATATAATCAGGTACGTAAATGGAATTTCTGGTCATTCTTTGTTAAGTAGTGCTCGGGTACATTTATTTCACATGAATTTGCGTGTTTTTTCCCAGCACTAAATCAGTGACTTTACTCATCTACAAAGTTTTCTCATTTAGATTGTAAAGTTGTTGAATCTAGTGAATGCATTTTTACCTGTTCTTGAATGTCTTAATAAGATTCAGTGGGGGAATGGGGGAAAGAGGTGAGGAAAACAGTAGAGGAAAAGTGTGTGGCCACTGCTGAGTCACTAGGTACCACTCACAGCAAGGATAAGAGGTAGAGAGGTGGTGTTTGGAAATGCCATTTAGTTCATTTGCCTAGTTCATATTTTTCTATAGGACGTAGTTCAATTAAATTTATTTGGCTTCTTTCTTGGAATGATTACTCGTTATGGACTCAAAGATCCTAATATAGTTAGATTTTATAGAATATAAAATAGGACAGGAAGCAAATAATCTCTTTGGATTAAAGTTCCCATCTCCACATTAATGGTAGTTTTGTTGGCTCCTTCTATCTTTTGAACACCAAATCCTGCCTATTTGCCATTTAGTGATCTGCTCACAGCGTCACAACATATTCAATCCCTTTTTTGCCTGGTTAGACAAAGAGTATTCACTATCATTACATCATTAAAAAGAGATTTGTACCCCTCCTGGTGGTTTTCATCCATACTTCAGATAACAGAAGCTGAAATGGTTAAGGTGTCAATCTATTACACAGAAAATGAAGTACTGTTATGAGAATTAACAA